ACAAGTGCACACACGCACGTAATAGAATTGGAGGGGATCTCTAATTAAAACCTCATAGAAAAGAGAAGGGACCAGCCCAAGGTCGCACAGCAAGTGAGTGACCAAGAAGAGAAATAAGCACCTAACTGTGGCATGAGGAGCAGGGAGCAGTGTACACAGCATGAGCTCTGCCCTGGCACAGAGTGAATAGTTGACAATCGCTGATCACTAGGGTTGTGTTGTCATGATCCTCTGTTTTTGCTGTTATGCTGTATTAGTAGCTACTTTTCCTATGCTGTGATAAAACACTCCAACAAAAGCAGAGGAAAGCAGCTCAGGAAAAGAAGAATTTATTCTGATTCTCAATTCTGGGGTACAGTTCACTATGGTGGGGTAGTCGTGTTGGCAAGAGCTTGAAGCAGCTGGTCACGCTGTATCCACAGTCAGGAAGCAGAGAGATGAATACTAGTGTTCAACCTGCTCTCTCTTTACTCAGTTCAGGACCCCAGGCTGTGAAATGGTACCACCTACATCTGAGATGGGTCTTCTCACCTCAACAAACCTAATGTAGAGAATCTTTTACAGACATGCCCAGAGACTTGTCCCTTAGGTGAGTCTAGATCCCCTCATGAGGACAATTAGTGTTAGCCTCACAGCTGAAAAAAAAAAAAAGACTTAGCCCACATCTCTAGCCTTTGGGGTATGACTTCCCAGTTTCCCCTTTCATAGTGAGCATAATACAAATGCTTCTCACATGTCCTTGGGATAAATAAATCAACCCTATGACTTCTCAGAGATCCTCCTACACTGAATGAATGTCTCTATTCTGAGAGGCCTATCCCACTCCTGTTTCTATTACACAGCTCTGTATTATAATGAGTTAATTTAAGAAATCTATCCCCTGGTCTCTTGTGTCCACTGGTTAGTCCTAGATTTAATCTTCCCAGCATTGAGCCTTTTACAAAGAGATTTTGATGTTAAATCAGAACATGTAGGTCCCTGGATAGAAAGCATCTAATTAACCTGACAGGGTGGTTAAAAAGATATATATTATCTCCCATCAGTCATCCACCTCAAGAAAGACAAGGTCAGTCTTTATCTTAATAACAGAGAGGATACCTTAACCATGACAAGTCTGCAGCACACATCAAAACAATAAGCTTGCAGAAGGCAAATGCCCTCGATTAGGTAAATTAGAATGAGTGCCTCAATAGGGGCCCCTTGCCTTGACAGGAGCAGAGAGGAAAGCTTGTCTCTGTCAATCCTCCTTCAGAAAAGGCAGCATTGATTAGATGCTGACAAGTATTTGTGTCTGAAGAGCAGCAATAAGCAACAAATAAAAGGAATGCCTCCGACATCATCTTTCCACTCCATAGCACACATAACAATCCCCGCCAGCTTACAGCCGTAGACAACTCTCTTTGTACCTTTCTTTAAAAGTTCATCAGCTTCTGTGGCCCTCATAGAAATCCTGTGATATAATCTGAGAGACAGAGAGACAGAGAGAGAGACAGAGAGACAGAGAGAGACAGAGAGAGAGAGACAGAGAATGAACAGACCAAAATCAGAAGTCCATTAAAGTATCAAACAGTTCTGAAAAATACTAAAAATGGTCTAAATCCATGAACAAATATTTAGCCAGGAGTTAAACCTGGGTCCTCTGGAAGAACAGCCAGTGCTCTTAACTGCTGAGCCATCTCTCCAGCCTGGAAAATTGCCATGGGCCACAGAAATATAAAATCCTTTTTTTAAAATCTTTGCTTTCCATTATTATACCAGGAACCATTGTATGTACAGTAAAAACCTAACAATACCTCTGAACTGAGGTATTTTGAGCAACATTTGTTGGCACTGTGTGGCATGATACTATGTGCAATGCAAAGTGTGCATGTTGTATGTTCAGAATGAAGGCTGCAGTGACATCACCCGATGCAACATGGGCAAGTACTCCCATAAACAGCTCAGATTCATTACATTTGAATTTTTAAATTAATTTTTGATGGTTGTACATTCAAAAACCTTTGCCAGTGCCAATTTTTTTTTTTGCAACCCCTCACATTCATTTACAAGATTTACATGGGGTCTGTGGTGGTTTGAAAGAAAATACTCCCCAAAGGGAGTAGCACTATTAGGAGGTGTGACCTTGTTAAAGGAAATGTGTCACGGTGAGGGTGGGCTTTGAGATCTTGATGCCCTTTGCTCACAGCATCTCTCTTCTCTCTCTTCGACTGGACTCTTGGAGCTTGGCCTGGTATTTGGCTGTGGATATCTGCATCTGCTTCCATCTGTTACTGGAGAGAGGCTCTATGATGGCAGTTATGATATTCACCATGCCCTCATAACTGTGGTAGACTGTAGCCCTGGACCAAGAGCCAAAAGGAACCGTTCCTCCCTTAAGTTGTTTGTGTCAACTGTTTGCTCACAGCAATGAGAAAAGTAGTCAATACAGATGGTGTGTATAAAAACATACTTTAATTGACAATGTTTCCAATTTATAAAGGGTTTTGAAGGTATAACCTCATCATAAGTTGGGAAACATATGAGATATATACAGATAGATATAACAGGAGAGGAGAGGGAGAAGGAGGGGGGATCAAGGAAAATTGGCTCATAAAAGTTCAGAAATCCAGTGATCTGCCATCCACAAGCTGATCACTGAAACCCAGGGATATTGTTTTAGTCCAAGTCTGAAGGCTACAGAAGCAAGGATTCTAATCCTAGTACAAGGGCAGAACAAGACCAATGTCTGGCTCAGGCAATCATGTAGGAAACAGCCAATCCTTCCTTCAACGTTGTATTATATTTAGCACTTTGTGGAATGAATGATTGCTGTCAGTGCTGGGAAGGGTAGTCTATTTCTCTGAATTCACTAGTTCAAATGCTAATCTCATCTGAAAACACCCTTGCCAACACATCTAGAAATAATATTTGATGTGGGCCGGTAATGGCCCAGTCAAGTTCAGACATTAAAATTAACCATCAGAGATCATTGTGAACTGGTGTTTTTAGTTAGATTTTACACTGTTGTGTTCTATCCTCACTTCCATTCCTTTAAGGAGGAGGGAAGAGTCACAGAAGAACCAAGACCATCTTTGAGTCCTTACTTCAGCTCTTCAAGGGCTCCTCAAGTCTTTCTCTTTCTAGTCTCCATCTTTATTCCTCATCCATAGCCAATTTTGCCCAGCCCTGAGCTCTGCTTTTTCTGCTTTGTTTTCCAAGTTCATAAAAAATGCTTTGTCTTCCTTTAGTCAATAAAATTTATGAAAGTTATTTTGTTTTAGGTTGGCTACTCCATTGCCCCTTCTCAAGTCACCATAAATTCCCCACACAGCTCCTCTATGCTCTCTAACTTTCATGACATTGATCTAAGTATAGAAATGTCTCCAGAGAGCTCAAAAACATAAATAAATAAAAGGCTCTATTCCACAATGTTCTGAGCCAAACTCCCACTCAATCAGGCAAGTGAATTTCTCTTTCACCCTATGGGAACTCCATGGATATAGTTTGGCTCATCACATTGTTGCAGCCATCTAGCATCACTGTGTGGTATGGAATTACAGGTGGCCAATAGTGGACCTATATTGACTCATTTAACTAACACGGAACACTATTGATAAATGCCCCACTCTCTAGTCCCTGGTATGCAAATGATGTATTTTCATGCCACATACTTCCAGTCTGAAAGTAAAAAAATCATTTTTTATGCTTGTTCATTCTTCTCTTCCAAAAAGAAAACATCAATTTTCCCAGCATCGTGTCCCATGAGTGCCTGGTTCCCAGTAGTTGTAGGACCAAAATTAGTTGAATGCAGTGTTGGATGCTGAGATCAGTGAGGCAAAGATGCCCCCCCCCAACTAAAGGGTTTTAGAACTACATCTACTCATGTTTTATGGCCTTATGTTAATACTGACTTGGTTTTCTCTCACAGGTAAATATTATACACACACACACACACACACTTGCATCTCAGTCAAATAAATTCCCCCATTCTCAGCCATTATAAAGGGAATTTGGCAGCAAGCACCAGAGGCTCATGTCCAAGAGATCACTATAGAAGCTGAGGAAGTTCATGGGCTAAGAACATCTCAATACCTTTTCCTGGTGATGTCTAAGACAGCTGACTTAATTCAGATGGATTTAATGGCACTCATTTAATGCTAAAATCTAGAAAGCCTTTTAAGAAATAAGCAGCCTCAAACAGACCAGAACTGTTTACTGAATTATTATACCAGGTGTAATAAAGGATATTTTCCCTAGAAAAAAAGATGGAGGGTCTCAAATTCAGAAACAATTGGAATGGTTATTCTTTTAAGTAACATCAAAAATCTTTCTATTTCTAGCACACTGTGAGACTCCTTTTCTACTCCAGGACTCCATACTCCCCTTGTCCCCTACACTCAAAAAATGAAGGGATAAATATCTTTACAATGAACTTTGAGTATTTTTGTCTTATATTTATTTATATAAGTCTATAAGCTACCAAGTTAGCCTTCAGCTTGAAAAATAATGACAACAATGTATTGTACTGTACTGCACAAATTTCTGTGCTTTCAACCCTCTGAGTCTTTGTAACAGCCTTGTGGCTTTTTTATTTTCAAGATCATTTCTTTTCTCCTCCCCAAATGAACATTAAGAAAACAAACACTGAAGTTTGTCCAAAGTCACGTAACATGTTATGGCTAAACCAAGGCTAGACCCCAGTCCTAATCCTGTATCCTTTCCACTGTTTGAGCCTGGAATGATCACTGCCCCTCCCTTTACAACAATGGCAGACATTATTTATCAATCACCACCCTGATGCACCTAGAGGCAACTTTATTTAGAAGCCCTTTGATCACTCTTCCAGACAGCACTGATCGATCTCAGATTTCAAGCTGGGAGCTGAAACCTATCTGCCTTGCTGCACTAACCAAGTTGCATCTGTAGGTTAGGAAGCCTTGATGTACTGCTTACAGTGCGGGATGCACATTCAAAAAATACCAGGGGACTGGGCAGTGGCCACTGAGCAGATCTGACTCTTCTCGATCCTTCCACAAGCATGTCAAACAAACTCAATAAGACTGAGATGGAGAAATTCGATAAGTCAAAATTGAAGAAGACAGAAACACAAGAGAAAAATCCTCTGCCTTCAAAAGGAATGATTGGACATGAGAAGCAAGCTGGTGCGTCGTTAATGAGGTGAACACAGCCAATGTGCACTGTACAGTCCACACACAGCACCTATTTATTTTCCTTCTTTTAGCTATTTAGCTTTGTAAGATGCAGAGGTTGGATCAAGTTTAAGTGACTGTGCTGCCCCTTTCATGGCAAAGAATCAGAACTACAGACTACAAAGTCCTCCTTGCCTCTCCCACCCATCTGCCAGTCTGGCTAACAGGGATCACCCGTTAATGAAGGAAAAAAGTGGGTGGGAAGTGGTGAAATATAGAGTAAAATTGAAGGTTGTCCAAGGCATCCTTCAGGCTGTAAAGTGCAGTTTAGTCACAGTGCCATTTTGTTGTGGAATATTTAACTATATAAAGATGTGTTACATTTGTTCATGCTGCATTTGCTTAACAATGTAAGAATGTGTGTTTAATTATGTAAAGATGTGCTGCATTTGTTTCACCTTGCCTGCCTAAGGCACTTGACTGATCTAATAAAAAGTTGAATGGCCAATAGATAGGCAGGGGAGGGATAGGCAGGGCTTCTAGGCAAAGAGAATAAATAGGAAGAGAATCCAGGCTCAGAAAAGGGAGAGAGAGAAGGGGGAGGAGAGAATGAAAGAGATACTTAGGGACAAGAGCCAGGCAACTGCTAGCCAGACATAGAGACAGCAGGAAAGTGAGAGAGAGAGAGAGAGAGAGAGAGAGAGAGAGAGAGAGAGAGAGAGAGAGAGAAGAAAGAAAGGAGAGAAGGAAGGAAGAAAGGAAAGAAGGGAGGAAGGGAGGCAGGCCCTAAGGCAAAACATAGATGAAGAAAAACAGGTTAATCTAAGTTAAAAGGCTAGCCAGAAATGAGCCTAAGCTAAGCTGAGCATTTATAACTAATATTAAGTCTCCATGTCATGATTTAGGAGCTGGTTGGTGTCCCAAAAGAAAAAGCCTGGTATACCATTTTTTGTTGTTGTTGTTCAGATTATTTTAATTATTGGAATGAACAATTTTTAAGTCGCAAATTAAAAGTTTTTAAACCCTAAAAGGAAGGAAGGAAGGAAGGAAGGAAGGAAGGAAGGAAGGAAGGAAGGAAGGAAGGAAGGAAGGAAGGAAGGAGGAAGGACAGGGAGAGGAGCCAGTGAAGTGTGAGGATAAGGGTGATTGCTACCAAATCTAATGACCTTTGATGGATCCCTTGGACCCACATTGTGGGAAAAAAGAACCAACTCTCCAAAGTTGTCCTCATACTTTACACTACAAACACACACACACTCAAACACACATACAATCAATCACTCGACCATTGTAATTAAAATAGGAGGTAATTAAATACACAGAAGGTAAACTTTTAGAATAATCTACCTAAGGAATTTTGATTTTTCCATCTTACAGTTTCCTGGAAGTCACAGGCCTGAGTTTAATTTTATTCTAGTTGCTATAGGAAGCAGGGATAAGCCACGGTCACCACCTAAAATATTCCATTGTTACATGCAAAAAAAAGTTAATTACATCCTCCTCCTCCATTAAAGAGCTAAGTGATGGTTTCAACCTCTCCCTGGGTGACCAGTGTGTACACATCCCTTCCCTAGTCCCACTATGAAACACTTAAATGGTGCTTTTTGCAATCAACCCAGCTTGAAGCAACAGCTTTGAAGTTGATGGGCAAGTGCTTAGACAATGCCTTACATAAACTCAAATGGTCTTCAGTTGTGGAAAACAAATGAGAATATGTCTCTTAGAATCCTTCCATTTGGATATTTCATTCCCCAATTTATTGGGGGGGAATAAGTAATAGTAAAACTCATACCTGAAACACTAGCAAATCATTTATTACACGACTGTATCTTTCCTACCCCACCATCCCCAGTAAGTGGTTTTAAAGCAAATGCTTCTTTAGTTAACACTTAACAGAAATTGATATCTATTTAATATCATCTAGGTAACTGGAAAAAAAACAAATTTGAGTGTATCTAAGAAGTGGTGACTTTCCCGGGACTCCAACCCAAACAGAGGTTGCTGACACAATCTGTCTGAGAATACACCTTCTGAGTTCTGTAAAGAGATTCAGTTTTAAAAATCACCTCTAAAACAGAGATGAACACTTTCCTCTACACTGTCTAATTGCTGTACCTAAACTGAGCATATGGGGCCTTGGGGTGGGTCTACCCCTTGAGATCTCTGAGCACGTGTCTGTTTAATTGTACTTTAAAAACAGATTGTTCTGCTCAGGCATCTGTGACCAGCAGCATTTGGGAATTTGCCCATGATGTTTGATGGAGGTCATCCAATCTGCAGGTCACCCACTTCATATTTCATCGTGACCTCCTTCCTCCAGGTTATCCTTGAAGATGGATATCTGGCATGTCCTGGACAACAGTGGGCCTTGGGTTTTTGTCCTTCTGGCCAATCCCTGATCTCATTGTCCTCTAGCTCAGCCATAATGGCTGACCTAGCTCTAAAAGATGCTAGGCAGTCTACTCAGAGCTTTGGGGAGATTTTCTCATGAGTACCCTAAACAAAATGTGGATTCTAAGGTTATATCTATTCACCAATGAGTAAACTGAGGTTCTGAGATTCAATCATGATTCCACATTGTTCACTTAGTAAAGAAGCAGAGCCTAGACAGAGAGTAAGAATGCAGGGCTTTGGGGCTAAGCTCTGTGGTAACTTGCCTCATAACCAATGTCATTTCATTCCAACACTCATTGACAGTGACAGTAGATTTTCCATGGTCCTCCTCTACCCATGTTGCTGTGTTGAACCAACAAGGCATTTTATTATGAGGACCTAATACACCAAGAAGATAATTCTCTTATCCGTATCAACCATGGCTTAAAATGTATCTGCCATGGGAAGCATATGAAATCCTTTCCTATATATGAGAAACTCCTCTGCCTACATTAATGGCCTTCCTATGAGCCAGGAACTGAAAATGGGATGCTCTCCTTTCCAAATTCTCTTGGACATGGCCTAGAAACAGCAACAAGAGACCCAGAGAATGGGAAACTATAAAAGCTTTTCTGAAGACAGGTGATGGCCCATTTCCTGAGAGAGTGTGGCCAGTGGTGTCCAGTGTAGTACACAGCAGCCATGTTGCTTGTGGTTTCCGTAGCACAGCTCTGTGGCCAGGGGCTGTCACCTATCCTAACACTGGTCCTGCTTGTTCAGCTTCCCTCTACTTGTGCTGAAACATCCAGCCTTCCTCCAACCCACAATCCCACTAGAGGCTGCCCAGTGACCTTTCAATACATTTCTTCCCAGTTTATAATAGTCAGGTTTTGATGCTTCCCCTGAAGGGAGGTAGAAGTCAAAGTCATAAAAGCCTTCATTCTCCCTGATTCCCCTGATGGTAACTTCACTAGAGGAGAGGCAGGGGAATCTCATTTTATAATAAAACCCAGAATCTTGAATTTCTGCATCCTTAGATAACACTATCTATCTAGGAGTAAAGGTCAATGATAAAAAGAATTTTTATTTCTATCTACATGTCTATAACAGCTAAATTTACTAGGCTTGGAGATGTCACTAACAGAACCATACGGCTGATCCCATCAAAATGGAAGGGATTTGAGGAAACACAAAATGTCCTGGGGAGGAAAATATTACATCTCTAGATTGAAGAGAAAAAATGTTCACTGAATACTAAAAAAAAAGACAAGGAGATTTCTTCAGTGAATAAAGCTTTATGAAAGAAACATTCTTTAAAAATCAAATTAATGAAAGCTGGGGTACACAGAATGCATAGACTCTGTGTTTCCTCTGGTTTGACAGTCTTCAAGTATGCATGTCTTTGTGTACATGTTATAAAAGAATATTTAAATGTTTCCTATCCAGAATAGTGTCCCAGCTACTTAGACTTGAGTTTCTGGTAAGATATTTTATCTATTAAATGGCTTTTATGAACTACATATTTCTTCAAGCCCTATGAATGATATTGGCTAGCTTTTAGAGTACTAGAGGGTACTGTGCAGACTGTTAGGGGAAAAATTCATCAACAATCTTGTCCAACTGTAAACTCTGGTAGCTACAGAATGCTTGGCCTGGCAAGACATGTCATGGATGCAACGGTGGCATGAATGTTATAGATGTTGCCAATCACATTCTGGTTGTGATTAAGGCCTGCTATAGATGAGCAAACACATGTCTAGTACTGTGAATCTGATCAAAAGACGATGGTGAGGAGCTCACAGGCCCCAGGGGTGAACCTACTACTATTTTTCTAAATGGACATAGTATCAAACTACCTCCTCATTTGTATCTCTATACTCACAGATTAGTGCAGCTCTCAGTTATCATCAGAGAAGTTTCTTAGTACAGTAGATGATATTTAACACAGAAACTGACAGCTGGTCAAAATATAAAAATTAACCACCTGTGGTGTTAATAAATAAATAAATAAATAAACAAACAACTGTATCACAACTCATCCTCCACAAGGCTCAGCAAACATCACAGAAGAAGGAGCAGAAAGACTGTAAGAGCCAAGAGTAGGGAATCTTGAAAAGGAACAATGTCTTCTGGACATAACAATATCACTATCATCGTGAGCTCACAGCAGCTGGGGTTGCCTGCACAAGACCTGTACAATCTCAAGCTAGTCAACATTACAACATGGAACAAAGAGGGACTCATGATTCCCCACTCTGAACTGAGGAGTTATAAACAGTTTATAGCTTCTGGGGGAAGGAGAATTGATGTTCTTTAAAGGTGTGGTCCCTGGTTAGGTCAACCATGCTCCAGGGATGGCCTCATCACAAATTGGATGGGATGGATTATTTTTAAAGGGGGTGAACATGAAGTTGGAGGGGAGCTTGATGGTAAAGAGTGCATCTAAAAGAAATTTGGAGGATGATTGGGGTAAATGTGATCAAAATACATTGTATATGAAATATGTGAAAATCTCAAGTGTTGATAAACTACTGTATTTTTTATTGTTAAAACTGGCAAGTCCTTCAGCCCTGAAAACTCCAGGCTGATGGGGAAATGAGTTCCTGATAATGCTCACAGCACAAAGTGGCAAGAACTGAGAGCTATGGAAAGAGGGGTG